GGTGGCTCCACTTCCAGGACCCGAGAATTAGGTTAGAGTGGGGAGGGGAAAGGGGGATTGATATGGGGGGGACGGTGCCTGGTTCGCAAGGGGGAGAGGATACACTAACAAATTAAGGGAAAACTTATTTTAGTTAGATCACGGGTTCTTAAACATTCATGGTGAGGACCTTATCCTTCAAGAGTTATTAATAAGCCCACTTCCCTTTCACATAGGCAATTTCACAATGTCTCTATGGTAACTACCACAGTTATTTATATAGAAAAGTAATAATAGGAAAGCTAGGGATGTTAGATATTGGGTATTTGAATCCCAGATAGAGGCAGCAGTGCAGGGGGGAGGGGCACCATGCAGCCATTGCAGGGGGGAACTAGTTTTTAAGCTGGCTCCTAGCACCAGCTCCTGCTTCTACCCCCAACTTGCTGCCTCTGATACAGCAGCATTGACATCTCTAAAGAAAATCATTTTTTTTTTTTTTTTTAAATAAAAAGTGATTTAGACACTAGAAACAATCTGGCGATTAGGTGGCATGTTTCCAGTCACTTCTCTGCACACCATCAGCAAGTGGTCCATGGATCACAGTTCTATAACAGTTGCTTGTCTACTACTAGTAACAGAGTCTTGAAGTAACTAGTAACAGAGTCTTGTGCCCCGCCCAGCATAAGTAACAATGCAGCGTTAATATTAACAAGCTTCAGAAAGGTACACGGTTCTTACAGTGAAATATGATGTGTATGTGCTGCTAAAGTTGTTTGTGTTTGTTGCAGACGGCCTTGTTGCTTAAAACCCAGTGTCCAGTTTTCTCAGAGGTGGGCAGTTCCCCCAGCAGTACAGCAGAGCAAAAGGGCAAGCTGTTCCCTGATGAGAGGTGATTGCCCCTTACTCCCAATATTTAATATTTTTCTATTAAAAGCAATGAGGAGTCTGTGACACTTGAGAGACTATCAGATTTATTAGGACATGAGCCTTTGTGGGTAAAACCCACTTCATCAGATGAATTGGAGTGGAAGTTAAAGGCAGGGGTATATATAAGAAGGAAGTCCTCATTTTTTAATTATGTTGTTCCTAGCCTGACCATTGCTAGAGTGACTCATAGAAGCAAGGATCTTGAAAAGTCAGCATTACAGTAGTCCGAATCTACAAAGCAATTTTATATAACGAGACTTTATGAAAGTATGTTTATTTTTGGAAAAAAATTCCATAGAGTTGAAAGTTGAGTCTAATAGAAAGCTTAGATGAAGTATAAGTATACATGTGTGTTCTCTCTAGCTTTTGGAAAGAATTTCTTCATGCTTGAGCCCAAGTCAATGTATAGATTCTTAGCTTTATAACAAACTTATTTCCTGTAGCAGCATAGGGTATTTTAAATTGTGATTTTTAAGAAGTAAACGAGTAAGGTGTAATTTATGTCTAGTCCTGGTTTTAAATCAGGGGTGGGGAACCTCAGGCCCAGGGGCCAGATATAGCGCCCAGCTTGCTTGCATCCAGCTCCCGAAGGTTTCCCCCAGTATTGGGGAGCCCACAATGGTGCTCCAGTCCTCTGTAGGTCTGGAGCACACAAAATCTACTAGCCTGGGGCTCCCAACGCTCTGTTGTATAAGGCGATATGGGGAGTGCCTTTTTCCTTCTTGGGGGGCCAGATTACTGAGGGTTTGAGGGGGTTGCTTCTCACTTGTGCATGGCCCCCGACTTTTTTTTTCTGTGGGTCAGTGGCTCCCGACCCAAAAAAGGTTCCCCAGCCCTGTTTAAAATCTTAGGTCACAAATGTAAAGACTATCGTCTCAACTTAAATCCAGTTATCACATGAAAGTTTTATTTAATGTCACATTCAGCTTTTCAGATTTTCATTTTTTAAGCAGTGGTAGGTTTGAAAACAGTTTTTTGACATATATGAAATGCAACAACTTCCTTTTCACTCCAGAGTTAAACAGATTTGGATACAATTTTACATATATAGTCTATTACGATTTTATCTTTTATCTTCCCCAAAAGGTAGGTGGATTATGTATTAACATTCAGAAACTGGAACCTTTGTGCGGTACAGTACTTTACTTGTTGGATGTAATTTTTTCCAGGTATTTTTAGGTTTCTAAAACTGAAATATCCAAGCTTATTGTTCTAGCTTGACATGTTTTCTTTGTAACGTAAAGATCTCAGGTTATTTAAGATGCCTTTATGCCCTCAACACACATGCTTCTAGTGAATATTTAGACAAATATTTTGTTAGCTGTTAATAACCTGAAGATAGTTATTAGGCTTTCAAAGCATCTTATGTTGGTGGTTGAATATAATAATAAACCTCTATATGTTTACATCTTCAGTACTACCTTCAGTTTTTTCTGTGATTTCAGAATGCTGGAAGAGAAAGAGGAGCCAGGTTTTCTCACTGGCTTGAAGATCCCAGCACCCTGGGCTGCTGGGAAAACTGTAGAAACAGTGCATCCTGTCAGGGACAATTACAAGTTTAAAGAAACTGTACATATCCCAGGAGCCCGCTGTTTATATCTTAGATTTGATAGCAGATGTTCTTCACAGTATGATTATGATAAGGTAAGGAAGAGCCAGTACAGAAACTTCACTATTGTGAGTCTTTCATTAACATTTCTCATTTCATTTCTCATCCATCACACCTTATCAGTAGTGATGAGGATGATGTGATAGGTTTTTACCAACAGCAACACTAACACACTGTAATTTCACAAGATCTGCTTGCCCCTGGGATCCTAGATTTTAGAAATGAAAAGAAATTTTGGAGTAGTAGGTGGTTTTGAATACTTCTCAGGGATGTCAGTCTCCTCTCTTAGCACCTGTAAAATTAGAGTGGATTATGTACAAGAAAATATACAATGCGGGAGGATCTATCATGAAATGGCAGGGGAATGTGACTGGATGAGTTAATATATCTTTTTTTATTTCTGATTTCTGGGGGGGATAATTTCTATTATTTTGTTAAACGGTCAGATATGAGCTAAACATTTACAAAGGACCCTTTTAGAATGTAATGTCCAGTGAATATCACTGTTATCTAACAGAAACTTAGTTTATGGATCCTTAAAGAATTAGGTTCCCTGTTGAACTTTTCTTCTAAAGTGCCCAAATGTGGTGGTGGTAATCCAGTAGGAGAAATGTAATAATCCTCAGAAAAGTTACTTCCTGGTCAGATATGAGCTAAACATTTACAAAGGACCCTTTTAGAATGTAATGTCCAGTGAATATCACTGTTATCTAACAGAAACTTAGTTTATGGATCCTTAAAGAATTAGGTTCCCTGTTGAACTTTTCTTCTAAAGTGCCCAAATGTGGTGGTGGTAATCCAGTAGGAGAAATGTAATAATCCTCAGAAAAGTTACTTCCT